AGAAAGCCTAAGGGGTGACTTGCCAGACAGCTGTGGGAATATTTTTCCTTCTCTTTCTTTCTCCCTCCTCCCTTTCTTTAAAGGGAAGAAAAATTGATTTCACCTATTAATTGAGGAAAATGGACTTAATTGTCACTGTCTCTTCCTCGTGTTTTGCCCTTCAGGTTTTGTTTTAAGTACTAACAGACCTGGTGAGTTGCCCCTTAGCAAGGCGCAGAGGGTTTGGCTAGATTAACGTTGCTTCCATTATTACTATTTTTTTAATCAGAGTGCTTTTGGTTCGCCATTACAATTGAACTGAGCATCAATCAATTCTGTGCCTGAAATCATTTGGGGTTTTTTTAGTGTGGGTTTTTTTTTAATTTTATTATTTTTATTTGAACGTGCAATACGAAACTAAATCTAACCCTAAATTAACACCACCCTTCCTGGCAAGTTTAAAGAGCAGTATGGAGTTTGGAAATGCCTTTCAAGTCTCAAAATTGTATGCATGCCCCAAAACAAACAAACAAAACTCACCCGTAATCTCAAGGAGGAAGAAAGAGATTGTCAAACTTCTTAAACTAGAGGCTGTTTACATTTGTAGTGAAATGTGTTCTATGGAACGATGGTGTTTTATTTGCAGTCATTTCCATCTAAAGAGAGTTGTTGAACAGGGCATCTTGGGCTTGTCACTTTCATACAGCAATGGTAGTGAATTGTATTCAGGAGCAATGGAGTATGATAAATATCATTTTACAGTGTATGGGCCCGATTCATTACAAGAAAAATGTTTTTGCAAATGTGCACAATCCCCTCATATGCTTTTATGATTAAAAATGCAGAATGCAGCATGACTGGCACTCATTGGCTTCCTTTTGTTGTCAGTCTGAGTAAAGTCAAAGAGAACGAATGGACAACAGAAACACGCCCTTCCCCTCCTCCCCCCGTTCCCCACTATTCCACTGCACATTATTGGGGCGGTTCTATTTGTGCTGCCCTGGCTATACCTTCTCTGTGAATAAATCAGAGCTCCACTTTCCACTGATGCCAATTCCTTTGAAAATTCAGGCCATGATCCTGAAAACACTTAAGCATGTGCTTAACTTTACTCCCATGAGTAGTTTCATTGATTTCAAGGGGGCTTTTTACAGCAGTAAAGCTAAGCACATACATAAATGTTTGCGGGATCAGAGCTTAAGTGCACTCCCAAAACTTTCATGTTCACTTCAATGCATTTTTTATATAGCTACCTTTTTGGACATGAATCTTGGAACATTTCTAGTGCCAGATTTTTGCGAAGAACTCCGCACCAACAGCTCCCATTCAGACACCTAAACAAAGTGGCAAGATTTACAGAAGTGTTTTGTGCTCAGCAGCTCCCAGCATTCCCAGTAAAAGACTGGCCACTTTATTTAGGGAGTTGAACTCTTTCAAAAATATGGAACATAAGCAAACTAAGATCTGTTCAGCACCCAAAATGCATGCACACTTCCAGGCAAGACTTTGTCTAATGCATTTCTAAAACCCCATCACCGTGTTGTCTGGGCATTGATGACCTCTGTGTAAGCTAAGATGGTGTTCTTACATGTACTGTGTAAAATTTGCATGTTTGCTTAATAATCATCAAAGGAATATGCCTAGATTATTTCAGCCTGGGGTGCAGTTAACTTGCATGTCAGCTGTGTTAATGTCATGAACCTATTTTGGTCAGTAATCATTTTTGTGATTCTGCACATTGTGGGCTTCTGTTTCCTTTTCTCCCTTTTTCTTTCTTTTTTTAAATTTTTTTGTCATATTTCTGCTTGTGGGAATACAACCACCAATTACTATTATTAGATGGAATAAGGTCTGATACCAATTGCAACAGTAACTCCTGTGATCAGTAGAAAGGGACATTTCCCTGTGTTTGTGTTCAGTGTCATTCATAAATTCACACTTGCTAAACTCTTCTCCCAGACTGGGAGGTTTATGCTTTGATGCGTCCCTTTATAAATCACGCACCCAACCAACAGCCCCATGTAGAAGCAATGGGTGAAATTTTTCTAAACTGACTTAGATTTAGCCACACGGTTTCCCATTCACTTCCGTGGGACCTGTGTGGCTAAATCCTCTAGTTGGCTTTGATAACCTCATCCCTCCTTGTATTTTTTTTTAATGAATTGGGACCTGGGCCATGTAAAATTAGCAAGCTTGAAAGTCTGAATGCTGCAAACTCCTCCTAGACAATTTCACTATCAGTGTCACGTTTCTTTTAATTTCACCTGGCATATTTTGAGCGCAATCATTTTTGTCTTGTAAGTGCTGTTTAAAAAAAAGGGAAAACAGAGGGATAGAAAACATTTTTATCTTACACTTGGGAGGGGGGATTAATTTGGAAGAAAAAAAACCCCAAAAACGGAAAACAAAATAAAATTTGGCAGAAAGTTGTTGGGTTTTTTCCCCCCACCAGATAGTTTTAGTGTGTTCCCCAGCTTCTTAGTGTTAACTATTCCTCCCTGATGAGTGGAGAATAAAATAATAATACAACAGACCTGATTCTTCACTGCTTGACACTTGGTGCAGTCATTCAAAGTGGGGGCAAAAACATAAGCAAATCAGAAGGGCAACATTTTACACCCACTCTGCCCAGTATAAACCATGACAAGAGGTATAAAGCAGAGAAGGCTCAGGACTCTCTTGTGGTTTGAAGCTAAGGACATATACCTCTTTCCCCCCTCCCCCAACCCTTAACACCTTGCCAGTCTCCAACTGCAAATGCTGCCTTTGATCCCTGAGCCCCCAACAACCCCTTACTGTACTTTATACTTGCCAGCTATAACAAATCTAGTAACGTGAGCTACTGACCTTGATGGTGAGTGTGAGCAGTTATGTTTTTGTTGTTTTCTCTCTTGCTTGGTTGGGGCTGCTGTGAGAGAGGGTGTCTCTGAGGCATTCTTTCCGGCCTCTCTTACACTCGGACGTGCACACCTCCTCTCAAACACTCTTCTGAGCGCGCTCAGCGGGAAGGTTTGTCCACACCTATTAATCCTCTCTCAGTGTCCAGCTTCTTGTTAGTAGCAGCTGGTTGCATGTTTTTTGCTTGTTCAGATGAAACGGTTCAAGAAACAACTCATATCAACTCTTGAGAAATGTCTCTTTTTTTTTGTACACTTTCTTTTTATGTTTTTATTAATTTCCCTTACTTAAAAAAAACCAAAACACCTGTCGTACCGTAAAACATTTCACATCTCCCCTTGCCTGTTCTTAGAGTGTATGTATCTGTGGGACTGAACTAAATGCATGCACTGTAGTAGTCGTCCTGGTAGCAGTAGATGTAGTTGTAGAACATGCATTGTTGAGTTGATATAGATATCATCAACTTGAAATAGTGTGTCCGTCAAAAGCATAGCATTGGTTTGATTGGAAGAGTAGGGCTGTCAAGAAACCAGTGTACTCCTAAAGGCTTGGATCCATAGTACTGTATTTGTTAAACCCCATTATCTGAATTTATAAACTGAACATGGCTGTAGCTAACCTACATCCTTTCCCACCACAAGAACTCACACATACTCTTATGTTGATAGTAAATTTACCTTATTTTTCAAATTAAAAATCCTGGGAATTAGATCTTTGAATATAAATATGTTCTGTTGTTTTAGTTTGTATTAGAAAATTAAGGTTTTGTTTTAAATCATTTGTAATCATGATTTCGTCATTAATCCCTCAACTGTCTGCATTAGCCCATAGAATCATTCTTTGCAGGTCTTAAATTGTTTGTGCAAAATGCAAACCACCCCATAAGATAGCTAAATAATATAATGTATGTAAAACAGCTTTCTGCCAGACTCTCCTGAGACACAAGGGAATTGTTTTTAGGTCATAAACCTCAAATCTTGTTATGCAACAGACTCTGTGCTAGTCATGGTTTGTATTCATTGCCATGTCGCTGGGCTTAAGGGAACATTTTTAAATTAAGATTTAACATTTCATAAATACCAGCATTAGGAGAAAAAGACAAGTTCATCATCTTTGCCATTGAGCCAACAAATGTCTTTGCTTTTTGCACCCAGTTTTATGCACTTAACTTTTTTAATTGTTTTCAAAATGAATCAGCAGTGAATAGATTTAACAGCTAGTAATTCAAGTCCTGAATTACACTTTTTTTTCATTTTAGTTTGTTGTTTGTCAGAAAATGTCCTGCTGGGAGTAGAAAAGTTCCCCTACAGTGCTCATACTCCCCCCATCTCCCTCCAATAGAATTAGGAGCTCTTCCTGTGGCCTAAATGTTAGTTTTGAGCACATTCATAGCCTACAGAGTGTGTTCAATGTAGTCTTCAGGACACTTATCTCAGCAAATGTTATTGAAAGAAACAAAGTATCTGGAATGTGCTTTCCAGATGCAATTAAGAATCTGTATTTGCTCCTTACCTCTGATAGAGCAAAATAAATTAGCCAAAGAACTTTTTGGATGTAGTTGACACAATCACAATCCTATAGACATCTGTACTGTCTGCTGGATGCATGGTGCACAAGATTTCCCTTTTTGCTAGTGAAGAGTTGCAACACTTATACATCAAAGGGAGAGACGGGAATAATTTACCCCATAGATTTCAATCTGTTGCAGAGATGTGGGGACCCACTGTTTAATGTGCAAGACATGGTGAAATGAGGAATGTATCTAAAAGTTAGCTGAGCGGCAAATTGCAGAGGGTGTAGAAATCCATGTCTTACACTTAAATAAGGTGCACTAAAAATATTTAGTCTTGTCATTAAGCACTGATTGTGTTAGCAAATTATAGTAATAAAATAGTGGGACAACAGTTGGTCTGTGTGTGTGGAATGAGGGAAATCTAGATCAACACGCTGAAATGTCATAAGGACCAACAGCTGAACAATCTAATGATGAACCAACTTGGAATTTAAACTGCCGATTTAGGATATTTTCCTTTGGAGTGACAGCTCAAATGGACTGCACTCCTTTTTTTATTTTACTATATAAAAATACATAAAATTTAATCCAAGCCATGTAATCTGAAAAACCAGAATTTAACAAGCAGACCATCTGGGAAAAGGAAGCAGGCTGAAATTTCTCACTCCACTGGAACATCCAGTAATTACTTGACAGAGGCTGGCAACTGGAACACTCTGCAGAGTTGATGCATCTAAAAATTAGCAGCTGGTCAAGATTTTTATCCTTTGCTCATCTTTATAATATTAAGGCTGCGTCTGAAAATGTTGCTCTGAGAAGAAGGCATGAAATGGAAGAACCCCAACCATTTTGTACCTACATAATGTGTGTCCTTGCTGTAGGACTCCTCCATTCCCAGTAGGTTAAATGAGCTCTTCTATCTTGTGGATTAATCAGTTGAATGCAAACAAAAGGAAAATGTCTCCTGTTATAGGAATAGAAGTAAAAGAAACCAAACTCTGTGCTGAATAAGCACGTCTGAAGCGGAAATACTCCATTTTCTTCTAGGCATGTGCAACACGGCTGTAGAGATGAGATCATGCATTTCCTTGAGAGGTGTTTTTTCGGCCTTGTTAGTGACACCTCTCTTCTCCTCGTTATTTTATGTGCTCTGCAATTACTTCCCTGAAGGACGCGGGGTTGTTTTGTTTCGTTTTTTAAAAAGGGAATTAAAGCAGAATCATTTCTATTATAGGTCTAAAGTCATACGTTGATCCAAGATAATTTCAAAGCCATTATAGAAAACATATTCCTGGAAGTGCCTTCCAGGGCTCAAACCCCACAAAATACCTGTTTATATTATTTTATTGTTGGAAACGTTTTATTTATCCTTGAGGGACTGAACCTCTTACGGAGCCATATAAAAATTTCAGCACATTTAAAATAATCTGCTGCTGTGCCAGGCACTGACCTTGGTTATAGTCATTTTACAGGGCTCCTGCTTGAAGTCTATTGTGGTTAAAATACATCAGCTTTAATCAATAACTTTGTTATAGAAAACCCTGTGCACTTGATAAATCATCTCCAGGGCAATTAGTGACCAGCTCTGAAGTACAGACTTAAGTACAGCATGAGTTAATCTTTAATGAATATAGTAGCGAACTTTTAATGGTTTTTTCAGTCAGCGGAATTATTCTCAATGGGAAAACAGTTGTCCACAGAGATCATTCCGGCTACCAGGATGCCTCTCTTGACACATACCAAGTGGTGGCTCCAGTGGTATTGTGATCCAAACAGGCTAATCATGCATTCAGGAAAATGTTTCCATTTCAGAGCACTGAAAGTTTTACGCTTGACAAGTAGATTTGACTCTATTCTAGCAAAGTGCTGGAACAGCCAGTTAATGTCATTCAGATTTTTTTTAGGGACAAAGCTCCTGGTTGTTGGAATGCAGCTTTATTTTACATGATGTAACAAGCTCTTACATGAGTTATCAGTAAGGTTTGAAACCAATCAGGCCCCAGTTCAGGAAAGTGTTTAAGTATGTGCCTAAATTTAAGCATGTGAATAGTCCAGTTGATTTCAATGGAACTAGTTACATGTTTAAAGTTAAGCACCTGCTTAAGAATCTTGCTGAATCGCAACCCAACAGGGCAGTACAAATTGAGCGTGTTACCTTCTATGCAGAGTAGCTGCTAAAGGTGCAAACCACACACATTTTACAAGCTTTTACACTAGTATTTTCAAATAATTTGACCCCAAAACGCAGGAGAAAGTTAAATACAGTGAGTACAGAGACAATCTTTTTCTTCCCCCCCCCCCCTTTCTATTTGAGATACAGGCAAGTAAAAAAGGATACAGAGGTCTTTTCACTACAGCAAACTTTTGTATCCATCTGACTTGGCATTAACTTGAAGGGATAATAAAAGCCAGGGAAAGTAGAATTGAACGTTGGATATACGGACCTTCACTATTGGGTGGAAAAAAAGTCAGACAGCAAGTTCATTTGAGTGTTGTTTGGTAATTGCAGCAAAGGATCAGAACCAAGGGCTGTATTCCTCTGAATCAATGTGTGACTATCTGCAAGTCACTTCAGGGTTCTGTGCCTCAGTTTTCCTCTCTGTACAATGGGGGGAACATTACCTATCGGGGGGGGGGGGAGATACAATTAGCATAGCCACAGCACTTTGTGGGAAAGTACCACATGAGCGCAAAGGATTATTGTTATACCCTGACTGTACTCAGATGGTTTCCATTTTTCTTTCAAAATCTCTTTAGGTCTCCATTGACTCTTCCCTAAGGGCTGTGTCTCAAGTGTCATGGCAAACAATGATTGCCTTAAAGGTGGCCTAATGATGGCTCCTATGTGGTCACTGCTAATGTTTTGCCCTTATGCTACAGAGATTCCCAGTGCCTTCAATGGGTGCTGGATAAGGTCTGTAGGTAGGAGATTCATTTCCTCTAATGTCAATGGCAGCATTCACATGGAACAGTTCAGAAACCTCTGAGCATTATAAGGCTAGAAAAACTCCTCCTGGTGTCCTAGAATAACATCAGTGTGCTCTTTCTTGTTAGGCATCATTATTCAGAGTATATAACACCCCCCCCTCTACCATCCCCCCACCTATGTCCTCTCGCTGTCTTTTTTGCTCATAGAAAACTGCAGCTACAACCTGTGGTACCAAGGACAAAATACTGTGTGGGCAACTTGCCTGGAAAGCATGCAGCATCTAAGGGCAAAATCTGATTCCTACTCAATTTAGTGCAGAGCTGTTTGATCGCATGGTGCTGGTGTCTCCTTACTTCCAGTTGCAGAATAGCATTAAAGGGGGAAGCCTAAAATACTTTCCTAATACCGTGTTACTTTTCCAACTAAACAAATGCAGACATGAATAGAATGGGAGGCTTTCCAAGAGCTGATTTCTCTGTTAAAATGCAGACCGCGCTATGAAGGAGTTTCAGAACCTCTGGCTTAATTGGATGGACTGGTCTCTCTTAGCTTCACTCTTGGAATGACTTTTTCTTTTGCTTATCTGTCAGTGAAGTTGCCTCACCCATAATTGCTTAATATCATATACATGTTTGGCTAGTTAATTCTAATCAGTTTAATACCTGTGTCTTGTGTAAACTCCTGCTAGAAGATGATCTTCCATAGAACGAGGATGGGTTTTTTTCCTTTCCCTTTTCTGTACAGTCCTGCATGTTTCCATACAGTGATCCATAGGTAGGTGTGTGTATGAAGGAGATGCTTTAGGAGCAGAATGTGAATTACTACTGTGAATTAAAATATTCAGTAAAATGAAGTCCCAGTTTTGTTTTAATTTGGCTCTTCCACTGCCTGTTATTGTACAAAAGGCTTCAATTTAAAATTAACAGAAATGATAGCCGGTTAATGTGTTACAGTGGGAGGCCGAAGTTTCTGTTGCCATGGCGATGGAGTTCGGCTCATTTGTTTTGTAGATGAGTAATTACTACGCAATTAGAGTAGGCTAAAAATAAAGGGGCCCTTTGTTCCCAGTTACTCATTAATATTAATAAAAGGTCTGTCCAGACTGTGATAAACAATTAATGCAAATGTGGTTGCCCATGGTATAAGTAGCAACAGATTTCTTATCCTCCAATAAGAAGTGATCATGCCAGAGAGGTTTGCTCTTCCCTCACTTTAAATAGCAAAATTATTAGTAAATAATTTCATGTGAGAGCAAGATCACAGGTAAAAAACTTTCCCTGTTTGCCTCTTGGTAGGACGTCAGTAAAGGGTAAGACATGGACAGGCATGTGCAAGTCTGTTAGGACTTTCTCCTCAAAATCTGAGGTGGGTCAGATCCTGCAATGTGCTGAGCACACTCAATATCCACTGAAATCGATGGGAACTCAGGGTTCTCAGCACTTCACAGGATTCAACCTCAGGTCCTGGTTCTGCAAACGTTTGCTTGTATCACTTGACATCCACAGGTAGTGGGGCGAACCACAGCCACTTTCCGAAGCATTTTTCAGGATTGGAGTCTAAGTCCGCCACTTTAGAAGAGCATAGAGGCTGGAGGAGCACTGAGAGTTGATTTGGGAGGGCCAAGAAAGGAATCTGGTATGAGATTTGCAAGTGTCTCAAGGGAAGTTACTTTCAAAGGGAGTTGGGTTCCTAACTCCCTTAGGCACATTAGAAAACGCCAGCTCTGAAGCCAAAGGGTTGAAATTAGAAAAGAGCCATTTACCTTATCTCATGATAAACACTTCATTGCAGTACTATGTTAGAAGGAGAGGAAAACTTCATCATGTATCACAGTCATGTCAATATTAGGTGTCGTGTCCCCAAACCCCCCTTGGGCTAGGTGCTGTACAAACACCGAAATGATCTCTGCCCCCAAAGAGTTTACAACCTAAATAAACTAAAATCTGAGTCAATTTCTTTTGAAATGTAAAGGCATTACAGTTATCCAAAGCAGGGGGAGGGGCAGTGGTGGGAAAGGGAGGAGAGTGGGGAAGGTGCAGTAGAAGTGAAAGAAAACAGTCCTGAGCATTTAGCGTAAAGTATCTAAAGTGTTACAATACGTTAGATTTTAAATTAACTTTAAATTCCAGTACCATTAGATTGATACCTGTTTGTAAAATGACTGAAAAGTCAGAATTTATTCACATACAGTATTTATATAAATTATTATTGTTTGGCTGCCTTGGCTTAACTGATAAGACATGCAAGTGTGTGCTGTGGACCTATTTTGGTGCAGTCTGTGGACAGTAATGAAATGATTTGGTGATGATGATGCAAGCTACGTGCCAGATTGAACTCCCCACGTGCACATGTGCTCAGAACCTTTGGCAAGGGAAGCCTTGTGTTGGAGATGTGGCTTTCTAGTCTGGTTTGGAGGCTTTGAGTCAGCTGTCAAACTGACGGTGCACGGGCCCCATCCCTTTTGTTACTTGTGCTGCTCCTTGGAAGCGCCAGAGGAAAGACAAAAAGCGTTCTGGGCTGCTGTTTCCTGGAGTCCCTCTCTGCTCAGATGTGGCATCACTTCAGAAGAGGGGAAAGGACGGTGTGGCAACTTTGGGTGGGGGAGAGCGTGTTTCCACAAATTAAACGTGCATCATACAGTCTGATCAACCAACCTGCCACATGCTAAATAGTGGTGGTTGTAGCTAGAATAGGCTCTTTTGAGCAGCTTCCAGCACTGGCCGCCATGATGCTAGCAGTAGTTTACAGGACACTGGCATTTTTATCACTTGGTAACCCTCCTCAGCTCAGAGCAGATATAGATGAGACTGGGCCAGCAGCCACCTGAGCCCTGTCACTCCTACCAGTGGGAGATTCTCCCCCCCCCCCCCCCAAAAGAAGTGTAAACAAGGCCTAAGTACTCTCAATCCTTGTGTTTATTTTGTTGGCACTCACCCAAGCTGCAGCTCTGTCCTCCATCCTGTCCCTTTGAAGTGTCACAGCTGCGCAGCCAGCATTCTGGGCTGTCTCCCTTCTCCTTATCATGCAAAATGTCTGCCTAGCCAGGTTTGCATCCTCAGCCCCTTGTAAGCCTGCAGAACCACTCACCAGTGCGTGCATCCAAGCCACAGACATCACTGGCCTCATCACTCGACGGTAGCCTAACCAAGTGACGTCATCCAGCCTGGAGATTAGATGAGGTCTCAGACTAGGGTGCAAGATGTTCCAACAGGGAAAATGGCATAAAAATGGCATCTGCATCCCTCCCAAACTGTTTAACTAAGGGAGGAGAATGTAGCACAGCCTTTGTAAGGTTGACATTTGTTTGTTGTTAAGGATCTAATTAGAAACATGAGAGGGAGCTGAATGGCTGCTTGCTTGGCTAATTAGCGACATGCACGAAGACCACTTTGAACTTCAAGGACACAAAGCTATTAGCGCTTACATCAAAAATGGATTAAACTTCTGTGCTTTTATAATGATTAAAGATGAGCCGCTTGAGTGGAAATCCTTTTGTAAAGGCTGCGACAAGAGCTGGCTCCGTGATTGCAGTTTCTACAAGTGAAGCTTTGCATGGCCTCTGTGTAGTACTCTGGCCCCATGTGAGAGTGACACCATTAACTTGCAATATGGAAAATGTGATTAGGCAATAAATATTGATCGCTTGCAAAAAATTACGGTTAAGCTGAGAAACGTATTTATTTCTCGTGGCACGTAATTACGGGACTCAGAAGAGACAGGCTTGAATAGATTGTATTTTGTGTCTTCTTGCAAATCAGTGCACGTCAAGTATTTTTAATACTCCAACATCATTCTAACAGGCCCATATCCAAGCTAGGGCTTGAAACAGGCTAACAGCGGTGTTCATCAGTAGTTGCTGCGAGTACAGTTACAGAGAGACTTTTATACCACCTATTCTTGTTGCAACCGTGGATTTACCCCCCTCTTACAGCCATTTTACTGTGACGTCACTGACTGGTTCTGTGCCCTGACTCTCTACTAACACCGCATAGTCTCGGCTATGCAGTGCATCTGCACTTCAGTTGGCTTGGCTTGTGCCCAGTTTAGGGAACGGGCAAAGTTCCATCTCTTCTACACCAAAAGAAATGTGTTGGAAAAGAGTCGGGGGCCGTCATGTTGTAACTGGGTCCCTGTCTGTAGTTGTAATTGTCATGTAGATAGGTTCCGGTTAGTTTATATGTGGTTTTTGAACATGGTTTGGATCATTATTAGGTGTGGATTGGAGCAGTGTTAATGCTTATAACTGTGCCTGTAGTGTGGATAGGGTTTAGGAGCATACCATTCCTTTGACGCTTTGTTCAGACCTCGCTCAAGCTGCTATGTCTAGTAACCCCTACACCACATGCTACCATTTTGCTGTTATCCCTGCAAGATGCTGATGTGAAAGCTACTGCCAAAGGGACTGCAGGGAGAGGACAACCCCTAACCTGTGATTGCAGATAGAAAATAACATAAAAATGGTACCTTGTTACTGCAGATATCAGCTCCTTTAATGTCTTCTGGATGCATAGCTGCTTATTTTACTGTCAAACGCAAGATTTTAGTGTAAGGCCAGTACAGCTGCAGAGGAGAGACAGCTAGGTCCCACTCTATCTCAAACCCGACCAGCACAGCTCTGATGGTAGAACCCATGTTAGTAGTGACATATGAGGCAGACAGAACAAAGTTTGATTTTCGAAGGACAGGACTGAACTTTCTGACAGAAAAATATCACTGGCTTTCAGTTATGAACTAGGGGACCTGTCTGGTGTGGGGGATCCTGCAGAAGTGTGTTTGCTTTTTAAGCATACTGAGAAGAGGCTGAATAGATTTGCTGCAACTTGTAAATCTCCACCCTAGAGTTGTTGAACGGAATCTATTATATTTGTCAGACTGTTTGCTCTTCCGTCTTATGCATCTTCTGACTGGTTATCTGTGAGATTCTGGGTATAATGTTGTGACCCTCCAGCATACCTGTATGTAGAATCATAGATTGTCAGGGTTGGAAGGGACCTCAGGAGGTCATCTCATCCAACCCCCTGCTCAAAGCAGGACCAATCCTCAATTTTTGCCCCAGATCCCTAAATAGCCCCCTCAAGGACTGAACTCACAACCTTGGGTTTAGCAGGCCAATGCTCAAACCACTGAGCTATCCCTCAGTAGCAATCTTGTTATCCTCAGGAGATTCTCTGGTTTGATCGTTGATCTTAATTTGAAATTTCATAGAGTTTAAGCCCAGAAGTGACTATTAGATGATCTAGTCTAACCTCTTATGTATCACAGACTATTAATTTTTACCCAGGTACCCATATATTTAAGCCCAGAGACTTTAGTTTGATCAAAACATTTCAGTCCTCAGGAAACATGCCCCAGGAAGGGACCAAAGTGTCTGGCAGCAGTTGGTCGTTGACAGAAAGCGATATTCCGTGTGTGAAATACACACCGAAAGATTTAGAGCTTCTGGGGCCTAATCATAAAAGAGCATACTGTACCTAGCAGCAGAGCTATATAAGGCTGTTGATATGTAGCAAATGGATTTGGAAGAGGCTGGACTTGGTAGCAATGAGATGTATGCTACTGCAGCAAGTAAGAGAAGCAGTATATTCTAATGGATCTGAATACAGGACTAAGAGCCAGGAGTGTCTGCAAACTGTTTCAGGTTCTGCCACAGACTTGCCCATGTGGCCTTGGCTAGTCACTTAGAGGTATGTAGCACCTCTGAAAACCAGGCTCTCTCTCCCATGAGCATAAATGGGAGTTCAGTGCACAGCACCTCTGTAAATCAGGTCATTAGCCTCTCTTTACTCACCTGTAAAATGGGGATAATAATACACCAAAGTCGTGGGGACTAATTAGTTAATGTTTGTACAGGGCTCTGAAGATGCAGAATGATAATAGTATAATCCAATATTGTAGCTGCATTTTTAAACGGTCTGGATAATGTTATGATCAGCAGTAACCTCTGCAGTCATGCATGCTGAGTGATAATCAAATCTCATGCTTCAGAACATTATTTGATTTCCAGAGGGGTCAGGAAGGAGATCTCTGCCCCACCCCTAGCTTAACCAGTATTAATCAGCTTAATCAGCCAGGTGTATGACATTTTCCTTTCACCTTCCTCTGAAGCATTTGCATATTGGCCACTGACAGAGACAGCATACCAGCTGCGAATGACTGATCTACTCTGCTTCAGCAAATTCTGTTTCCATATATTGCGATACCTGATGTGTTAGGGGAAGGCAAAAAGATCTCTGAATGCAAATGGCTGCTTGTGGTCATCTCATGTCCTGACGCGTGAGATCTGCTTACCTTTTACTTTAGCATCTGTAACTACAAACAATGTGTAACATTAACCAGCTCCTTTTAAAATCCAGCTACAGCACTTGACTCTCAAACCCTCCTAGCTCTTTACACCTTGAAAGCACTGTGTAAATAGTAATGAATGGAAGCTACCCTTTGTGAAAGAGGAGTCGTCTCTCTCCTCCCATCTCTATAACACACACCTGCACATCCACCAATGTGATATATGCCATCATGTGCCAGCAATGCCCCTCTGCCATGTACATTGGTCAAACTGGACAGTCTCTACGTAAAAGAATAAATG